GTAACACCCCGTGTTACGATCCCTAAAATCAATTAAATCATTTAGCCAATTACCCAAAAGAAAGAATTAAATCACAATAATTAATTAGGAAAGGCCCACCATAGTCCACAGGGCCTTATCCCTAAACCCAATCCTTAGTCCCAAATGGAATAGAATTAGCAAGCCTATAATATTAGTTCCTAATTAGGACTCCTAAATATATAAATAGGGGACTTAAGAGGCACCTAGAAACCCCCCACCACAATAACGTCCCACCACCCCAAAGAGCTCCAAGAATTCCCTTAGAAGAAATCAAGAAAGCAAGAAAGCTTAAAGAAATACCCTTCATAGCCAAGGAATTAATTAAGGCTAAGAGGTAACCCATGTCTCAACAAAACCTATTTTCTTAGTTATGATTCCCCTCTTAGGATTTCCCCATATTATTGTGTATTGATGATTTGTGATATTATTATTGATGATTGGTGGGATGATTTCCATGGGTGATCTTGATGATGAAAGGTTCTTGATAATTATGGTGTTCTTGATGATTACATGACATTCTTGATAATTACATGGGGTTCCTGATGTTCTTAATGATTATATGGGGTTCTTGATAGTTATATGATATTCCTACCGAATCTTGATTTTGAAAGATGAATTGTGTTCTTGTTGATTTAAAAATAATTAGAACCCTAGGTTATATTGTGGAATTTGTATGGTATTATTCTTGGTATATTTGGGTGGGATTTCGCATGATTGGGTGTTTATTATATTTAGAAAAGCATGATAAGTTATGTGTCGTTTGTTTCTTGATTTCGATCCGTTAATTGTCTACGTGTGTAATCAATTGCGTTTGAAAGTGTCTAAGCATGGTTTCGGGTTCCACAAAGGTTCCCGGGGCGTTTTTGGTGAAAAGAGTCAGTGGGGGGTAGGTGGGGGTAAGGGACCCGCCACCTACCCGCGGCCAAAAAAAAGAGGAGCTCCGGCAGCGGGCAGTCGGCGGGCGGGCAGCTGCCCGCTGGGCACCCGCTGCCCGGAACAGTAAATACCGGCGGGCAGCCGGCGGGTGAACCCTCACCCACCGGCTACCCGCTGGAAATTCCCACCCTTAGGGACCCCGGCTTCCCCGTTTGATGTTCTCCCGACCCCCGTGGTGTCCCAACGGACTCCGTCTATCGCGCCTATGTCTAGTTTGATTTTCGGGTACCGTTCGTAGGTCGTATGAGTCTTATATATTGCATGCTAGTTGAATTGGTATCCCGTTGACCTAGGTGAAAGAAGTATGAACCCCTTAGGACTATTCTTAGTATGTGAAGGATCACGCATAGGTTTTGTTATACGTTTTCTCCCCCTTCCCAATGTGTTAATGTGGGTTGCATGTGCTTGCTATGTGTTATGTGTGCATGTTACCCCGATTTGGTTGAGATCAATCGGGCTATACGGGCAGTCGGGTGGGCTGAGAACCATACCGGCTGTTAACCAGGCTGGTAGAGACCGGTCAGGTATATAAATATTATATAGGACTAAGGTCCACTATACGGGCAGTTGAATGGGTTGAGAACCATCCCAACTGTTAACCAGGCTGGTAAAGACCGGTCAGGTATATAAATATTATATAGGACAAAGGTCCACTATATGGGCAGTTGAATGGGTTGAGAACCATCCCAACTGTTAACCAGGCTGGTAAAGACCGGTCAGGTATATAAATATTATGTAGAGCTGCGGCTCATCGGTCGGTTGCGATCGACCCCTCCGTAGTGTGAGACGTGGCAGGGTGCTGCGGGGCCGTGTTAGAGCTATATGCGCTGACCCTCATGTATGGGCATGCGATTGGTCCTGTGGCGCCAACAAAGTGTGCTATGTGATGAAGTATGGATGAGTTGTTGTTATGAGTATCTTGTGGATGAGACTATGGGATTTATACTGGGGATCGTATATGTTGAGTTATGATTATTAATTATGTTTATCTTATCTGTCTTGCCTGTTGTAAACTATATATGCTTGGTATAACTGCTGTCTGTACTTAGCCCTACCTGTTGAGTCTATCCCTATTTTAAAAGCTAGAGTTCGTAGGATATATCTTCATGTTCAAAATGGTTTTCGTATATATATATATATATATATATATATATATATATATATATATATATATATATATATATATATATATATATATATATATATATATATATATATGTATTGTATTTCAACGCGTTGGAGTGGGTTACCAGCATCTCTCGCTGAACAGATATATTTGGCTTTTAGGCACAGAAGAGTAAGTCACTGGAGCGCGCTAGAACTTGGAGCGTAGAAGTAGATAGTTTCCCTTTCGGCCTGCGTGCCATGTTTATGCGTTTACACTATTGAGGATATTAGTTATTTAGCCTGTGCACCCGAGTTCTCTAGCTTAGGTGTGGCATAGCACCCCGCACTCTTGTATTATGCTTTGGGATTTAATGAGATTTCACCCTTACTTTATAAGTTTTAAATATCTTGAAAATCTGAGGTGTTACACTTGTGTTATTCATCGTTGTTGTTGTTGGACTGTGATCCATTCCTTGATTGAGTATGGTTTCATATCTTCGTTGTGATCCGTTGATTGATTCCTGTTGAGGTGTGATGTGTGTGTGGCTTTACCTGGATTGCACGATTAGCGGTATGGGACACTAGTCACCAAGGTATTGCAGTGGTCCTCGTGGTGGCCATGACGTGATTATGGAGTTGTGACCTTTGTGTAAGGTTCACGTATTTCTTGGGTAGCGTGTGTTGCCGTGTGTGTGATCGGTACCCTCGTGTATTATGAAATCGGTGGTTCTGTTGGAGAGAGGACGACGGTCCTCTGAGGGAAGAGGTTGGACTTGGTGTACAGGGGTCCTGGAGGTAAAGGTTGGAACTAGATATAAGGTTGGGGGTAGCCATAAGGTTGGAACCGGGCATAAGGAAGGCATATCAACTCGTGATGAGTGATGTCATGAGGGCATGTGTAGCCGTTGTTGTGAGTTCTCTTCTTGTGACATGTGTAGTCACAAGGGCATGTGTTGCTTAGGCATGTGTTGCCATCGGTCTTGTCTTTATCCTTGTGTTGTGGTTATCCTTTGTGGTTTTGGGATGTGTTCCCGTATCCTTGTTTAGAGTGTTGAGTCTTGTGTTGACTATTGCTCTTGGTTTTGTACTTATATATATGTATTTCGTTTCGAAAATGGCTTTACAACTTATATCTTACTTATGTATGTTATTTCACATGTATTGGTGGGTTACCAGCATTATTCGTTGACCGGGCGTCGTCCCCTGTTTTATTGTGTTCTTTCAGGTGATGTCTAGACGAGTGCGCGGTCTAGTGCTTGCTAGTGTAGCTTCTCCCTCTTGTTTTGTGGCCTGTGTGCCAGTTTAGTGGTAGCCTTTGAGACTATGGATTAGATGTAAACATTGCAGATGTTGCCGTAGCGTTCATCCTTTTGGTGAACGTGGCATAACACCCCGTGTTTTGGATTTATGCTTATCTAGTTATCTTTCAGTCTTCCACTGTGTTTGTTGTTTAGTTCAGTTATCTGCATGTTTAAGGCTTTTAAATAGCTTGTTTTTAGGGGGTGTTACACCGCTCAAACAAGAGGCCTGTACATATTGTTTAAATCACCAGAGGTTTTTGCTTGTTCCTTTCACTGTTCGGGAGAAAATGCAACACCAGCACTATTCAAAGAGTTTATTGGTAATGTCCAGACGATTTGCACGCTCCTCCCTAACTCTAGAATATTGCAAAATAACGGGAGTGGAACTCTCATCTGCTCGTGAAACCATGTACCTGATCATTTTAAGTGTCTGAGGTCGGCTTATTCAGCTTGTTATGTTAAGGGCTATCATGACCGATGTATCCGGGGATAGGCACAAATTCAAAAATGACCGGGAAGCTCAAATAGAGTGGCCAGAAACTGGGGGCTCGCAAATTGATGTTGGAACTCTGGTCGGTTACTTCGACCGGCGGAGTCATGATGGTCGGCCAGAACTATACTCACCTTTGAAGGTCTTTGCTTGTTCTAGGGATGTCAATGGGGCGGGGGACATACCCCCCATCCCCGCCCCCGACTTTCTTCCCATTCCCTAACCCCGTCCCCATCCCTGCCGGGGAATGGAAAACTCCTTCCATCCCCATCCCCACGGGGATTATTCGGGGACGGGATACCCCCACATCGTTAATAAGTTATAAAAAAATAAAAATTAAACATTAAAAACATTTAAATAAATAACGCATATATATTCATCCCCAACTTAAAGTAGTATTAATATTTTACCAATTAAACATGTTATTTAAATATGCATTTCATAAGCATGACATACAATGACAAGAATAGTTCTAAAATTATGTATATATTGTATACAGAGTAATACATATATGTGTGTTGTGTGGATATATATATATATATATATATATATACATATATATATATATATATATATATATATATATATATATATATACATATACATATATATAGATATATATATGTATATACATACATATATATATATACATATATATATATATATATATATATATATATATATATATATTATATATATAGATGTGTATTCAAATGAGGATAAATATATTATAGAGGACGGTGAGGACAGATGTAGTGTGTGCCATTAGTCGGTATGTCGTGTGTAAGATCGAATGTAGTCGTGTGCCACAGTTTGTATGTCGCGTGCTAGATTTTTTAATTTATAGAGCCTTGGTTCGAGACCTGATGTTTACATTTATTCTTTTGTGCCATTATGTATTAAGTTGTGTGCCTGCTATTAATTTGTTGTGTGCCCATTATTCGTCCTCACATTCCTCTATATATTGTTGTCCTCATTTGAACTCACCCCTATATATATATATATATATATATATATATATATATATATATATATATATATATATATATATAGTACTCCACATCCCCGCCCCCGCCCCCGGCGGGGAATTCAAAATTGCCCCCATTCCCATCCCTATTCTCCCCTATTTTTATCCCATTCCCGTCCCCATAGGGGCAGAGAATCCGATTCCCCGTCGGATGCGGGTAAAATTGACATCCCTAGCTTGTTCCTTTCACTATTCAGGAGGAAATGCAACACCAGCACTGTTCAAAGAGTTTATTGGTAATGTCCAGACGATTCGCACGCTCCTCCATGACTATAGAATATCGCAAAATAACTAGAGTGGAACTCTCATCTGCTCATGAAACCATATACCTGATCATTTTAAGTGTTTGAGGCCGGCTTATTCAGCTTGCTGTGTTAAGGGCTATCATGACCCGTGTATCCGGGGACAGGCGCAACTTCAAAACTGATCGGGAAGCTCAAACTGAGTGGCTAGAAACTGGGGACTCGCCAATTGAGTTTGGAACTCTGGTCGGTTACTTTGACCGGAGGAGTCATGATGATCGGCCAGAACTATACTCACCTTTGGAGGTCTTTTCTGTTGAATCACCAGCCAGAACCGTGTGTCTGTCCACTACGTTGCACTTGGGAAGCTTAAAACATAGCAGAGCCTTTTTTTTTGCATTATCTCTTCCTTTCTATTTTATTTTCATTTTCTCTTTCATTCCACCTTCTTGGACTTCACGCTCCACCGCCACACCCACCAATAAGAGTGTATGCATGCACTTTTCCATTTTTATTTTCCTTCAGCTTTGATTTTTGTATTCCACCGCCACAGCCACCAATGAGAAAAAAGCATTCAATATTTGAACTCTATTTGCCTTTCTTTTCTGAAATCCACCGTAACCCAGCATCAATGAAAATGAAGCTTTAGCATTAACCTCTCTTTCTCTCTGTACACCCCACACCCACAATTTACAATCTCTTGAGCTTAGAAAATACATGCCAGCAGGGGAGATGGCAGATGCGCATGCAACATTTCCTGATTTCTCCTCTATTCTTGATAAAAGCAATACTACGTTGACTGCGGGAGATACAAATAAAATGGACACCGAAGGAACTGCATGCGTATAATGTTGATATGGAAAGCCTAAGGCAACATCACCTATACAGTGACATTCCTGATATCTAGCATAGTGCCGCTGTTGATGAAGTGTGACTGTGTATGTTCATAAAGTGGCTTTGGCTTGTGCTTGGAGGTAGGAGTTACACGCTGTAAACATACTCTGAGCGACGGAACAGCAGCGAAGATGCCTCTTCCGACGAACTAAATCAGCGGCCTGGAGGGATAGAATCTCCGGCCCCTTCTACTTCTCCTCGCAGGGTGAATTCACCAGTTGAGAAGGCTTTTTGAATGGGATACAAAAATAGGACGTTTTTTTTTTATACAAACATTGGAAAAGCTACATTGAGGAATGCATGTTTACTTTTTTAAACATGCATATGAGGAATGCATTATTAGCTTTTAATAAAATGTATTCTCAGAAAGAGTACGATACATTATGCGTAGATAGTACGGAGATAATACGGTAAATGTATACACATTAATAAATACAAATTTATGTATTAATAAATTGACAAAACCCTACTTATTTTATTATTCCTCTCCCTTCCCCTTTTTACGTTCTGTCGTCCAGGTAGAAGACAAAGACGAATGCGCGACATCGATCTGCGTCTGTTCGGGCGGTGGACGGCGGCGTTGTGTTTGGCGGACAACGGCGGTGCGCGGTGGTCGACCGCGTGTGGTGGTTTGTGGTGGTCGACGGCATGCGATGGTTTGTGGTGGTCGACGGTGTGCGGTGCTTGAGGCAGAAACCGGCGACATTTACACTTCTTACTTCAAACTGACAAAAACTTATATGTAAGCTCTAAACTTGCTAAGTTTTTCTGATGTGTATTATGAATAATGGGGGGTTTGGGTGGTGATGTTTTTCTGATGTGCAGAGGATGAGAGGCTCTGCATTATCTTTATATTTTCCAGTGTCTCACTACTGGCGCATCGCTCGATTTTCCTTTTGTATTTTTTCCAGAACACAATTCCTCCAATTCAGAGTCTGATCGCAACGGAGATACATTCTCTTTCACTTTTGTGCAATTTAGATTCTCTCCGAGACCTTGATTTGTATTTTCCTCTGAAATTGAAGCTTCGTGCACATCTTTCTCCATATTCTGATCGCAAGAAGCCGTAGGATTTTGCATTTTTTCATACTATCCGATTTTTCATCCCACGGGAAACATTGCATATCAAAAACATTGTTTAACTACTCAAAAAAAAATTATTGTTAAAAAAAATGAAGTTTGGCATTTTCTGTGTTTTTTTTAAACCTATATTCACCTAACATGGTCTCACTGGGTGCATGTTATATAAATAATTTGTGTAAATAATGGATTGCATGAATAGTTTGGTATTTGATGTTACTCCATATGATAATATTAATGTTTGTTTTGCTTGAAACTTACTATGTAATCTAAAAAGTAAATATATTATTAACAATTGGTGAGTAATAATTTGTTAATAAATATTTGTTTATGGTTACGGAAATGTCATTGCATTCGGAACCGATTGATCCAATGTTGTTAGTATTGCAACAAAATCATCGTTCTAGAGCCATTTGGACAAATCGAGATTATAATCCTCGACTCAGCGTCGGTCGGTACGATATGCAGACACAAAGTCGAGATGTTCGCCATCCTGAAATGCTTCATTACCTACGTGTTGCAGGGTTTTACGGAGTTACTCACCTAACAAATATAAAGTTAGACCACGCATTAATTGACGCCCTTATAGAGCGTTGGCGTGCAGAGGTCCACGCCTTTCACATGCCCTTCGGTGAGGTGGGAATTACACTTCAAGATATTGAAGTGTTATTGAGATTGAAGGTGGATGGCCTACCAGTTACGGGGGGAGATAAGCGGTCTGTCCAAGAGTGAAGTCTGTTTTTTTCGAATTGTTTGGAATTGAACTTCTAGATAAATTCGTTACAACTAGTAAGGTTAATTTAACAGGTTTACCCAATGTTCAGAAACTCATGCCTAACAGCTCAAATTTTGAGGTGAAAAAAGCCACGCAGATACTTATATTTCATTTATTAGGAGGATTTCTATTCCTCGAAACAAATAAGACAGATGTGAAATTATTTTTGCTCGAGTATATTCGTGATTTTGAAGTGTAGGTGCGGTCAATATAGTAAGGGATCGGCAACTTTAGCGTATCTGTACAGGGCGTTGTGTAGAGAGGCCCATCATGAAACTAAGACCGTATGCGGATGCTTATTATTGGTACAAATTTGGGCATGGGAGCGATTGCCTATGGTTAGGCCACAAGGCGTTTTGCCTCAGGAAATACTTGGAGATTTGCCACTTGCAGCAAGGTTAGTTGTAAACTTTGATTAAATGCTTGAATTTTTATTGTGTGTGAATTACTTATTGTTCTATTTTGAAACGTAGGTGGAATTGCCGGCATTCATGGCGTTCTGTCCCCGGACACGTGGAACGAGTTTATCGCGGCCAATTGGATCGACTTAGTGCAAGCAAAGTGAGTCACTTCAATGTAATGTTTATATTTTTACAATTATAATAGATATTTATATAAATAAAATTTTAACTTCATGACATTGAATTTTATTTTGTAGTTTAGTTTCACTCCATATGATAACATCTTGAATAGCTTGCCCCATTATTGTAAAGCAGGGCAAGAGTTTTGGACAGCCCGGGTGCCTCTAATTTTCTTTTACATTGTTGAGTATCATTACCCAGATAGATTTTGTAGGAAATTTCATGGCTTTCAAGATGTACCCACTCATGTGACATATAGTCACAAATTGCATGAAACAGACTGCCGTTTGGGTACTGCAAATGATGATTGGAGTGTAAAGCATACGACGCATGTGCAACAATGGAATAGTCGAGGTTTATTCATTACAGAAATGGCGCATAAGGAAGAAACAACGATTACTAATGCATACCGAGATTAGTTCTACCTGTATGGTCGAAGGTTCATTGGCAACCCTGACCATAACCCAGACGATGGTTATTTGCAAAGTGTTGCTTCAGTTAATAAATTGGTTAGTGTCTTAATAGTTTTGACAATTACTTGATTATTAATTTTTGTAGTATTATGTGATTTTTTTTTTGTTATTACGTAGTTTTTTTGTGGTGTAGATGCAAGGGATGCAAGCAATGAAATTGAGAACTGATGCAGCACTTTTCAATCCTGCCGACCATGCTAATGCCATTATGGATGTGAATAATATGGCTCGGAAATATATAACGCGTAGCGTTTATGAAAATGTGGAGTGTGTCCCAACCGATGTTATAAATTGCTCAGCTTTGGATGAGCAGATAGACAATCACCGTACTGATTTGCGACGACAACGTGCACATAGGCGTGGACAACCGGGATATGGCGGGAGGCGGATGCGTGCTATTAATGCAGTGTTACATGCAGAGGTTGCACAACGTTGTAACGAGCAAGCAGCTAATACAGAGGATGACTTTGATAACTAGCGATGGATATTGGCTCTCAGTACTCGACCTTTGCTAGTCCTACGAGTGTGATGCATAATCCCAAACAGCAGGGGTCATATTACCACCCAATTCAGGATTTCCAATTGCATGCATCTTCTAGTCAAGCTGGAATTAGTAATCAAGTTGGTGAAGAACAACATTATGATGCGCCGACTATGTATGACTTTTTCGATGAGCGGTGATTTATTATGGTTTAATGGTTTGTATGAAAACATAATTATTAACCCATCAAAACTGATTTTTTTATTTGCCAATAACCAATGTTTTGTTTATTTATTTTATTTCTGTGTATTATGTGTCAATCAATGTCCTTATTTATTTAATTTTTTCTGTTAGAAAGTCACTAAGGGTCCGTTTGGAAAGCTGGAAAATGACTTCTGGAAAATGTTTTCTGGAAAATGAGTCATTTTCCGGAAAACATTTTCCTTTCCAGTGTTTGGTTGCATTCTGGAAAACTATTTTTGTGTGTTTGGTTCATTTTCTGGAAAATGAGTAGAATTGTATAATTAAACATTTTAATTATTTTATTTAGAATATTACAACATGTATAATAATATATAATAATATAATAATAATTTTAAATATAATAAAATAATAACTAATAATATATCAAAAATATTATGGTGGTGGTGGTGGTGTAGTGGTAGTGGTGTTATTTATTATATAATAATAATAATAATAATAATAATAATAATAATAATAATAACAATAATAACTGGTAGTGGTATGACAGTGGTGGCAGTGGTGGTAGTGTGGTGGCGATGGTTGTAATGGTATGGTGGTGGTGGTGGCGACGGTGGTTGCGGTGGTATGGTGGTGGTGGTGGTGGTGGCGGTGGTATGGTCGTGGTGGTGGCGGCGGTGGTGTGATGGTGGTGATGGTTGCGGTGGTATGGTGGTGGTGGCGGCAACGGTGGTATTTGGATGGTGGTGGCGGCGACGGTGGTTACGGTGGTATGGTGGTGGTGGCGGCGGCGGCGGTATGGTGGTGGTGGTGGCGGTGACGATGGTTGCGGTGGTATGGTGGCGGCGGCGGCGGTGGTGGTAGTGGTGGTGGTGGCGGCGACAGTGGTTGCGGTGGTATGGTGGTGGTGGTGGTTGCGGTGGTATGGTGGTGGTGGCAGCAGCGGTGGTATGGTGGTGGTGGCGACAGCGGTGGTATGGTGTTGGTGGTGGTAGTGGTTGCGGTGGTATGGTGTTGGTGGTGGTAGTGGTTGCGGTGGTATGGTGTTGGTGGTGGTAGTGGTTGCGGTGGTATGGTGTTGGTGGTGGTAGTGGTGGTGGTGTGGTGGCGGTGGTTGTGGTGGTATAGTGGTGGTGGCGGCGGCAGTAGTGGTGGTGATGGTGGTAGTGGTATGGTGTTGATGATGTTGTTGGTGGTGTGATGTTGGTGTAAAAGTTGGAAAATGACTTCCCCCCAAAAAAGGGGAAGTCATTTTCCTCCAAAACAAGCCTATTTTCCAAAGTCAACGGAAAATGATTTCCGTTGACTTGATTTTCCAGGCACATCCAAACACTGAAAACTTGGAAAATGATTTCCAGAACTCATTTTCCAGGTTTCCAAACACACCCTAATGTAGAAAGTCAGACACAAACGTGTATGTAAGCAATATTTCTGCATTCTCCAGAGTCTAGGGGAACAGCTGCATTGAAATCTTCACATGCCTTTTTACTTTCTTTGAGATACTAATCAAGGATTAGGCCATGATAATAGTATGCTGCAGCCTAGAGGAAATATAGTAAAATTTGGATCATTTCTGTAGTTGTTTTAATAGGCTTTCTGTAGTTGTATAAATGATTTCGTTGACCCTTTTATAGGAAACTAGTTCTAAGTAAAATGCATCTCATGGATGCATGTTTCGTAGAAACATTAAATTGTTTTTTATAATAGGAACATTAAATTTTGAAACTTATCCTCTGAAATAATATTTATAGGGAATCTGGATAATAATGGAAAATTGTTGGTAATGTTTGACCATGCAAAAATCCGTCCTTTTTTTTTTCATTATAAATTCAAGGAACATGCTTCTTAGGGAGGCATGTTTTGTCTCCTGACTAATGGGAAACGAAAATAATGATTAATTACATACAAAATGTAAAATTTGACTTCATACAAATCGGTACGGTACTTGTTTAAAATAAATAATAAATTCATTCTTCCCAAAAAAAATTCCTGTCCCCTTTTTGAATTCCGTTTTTGTTGGAATTAAACAATTAAACAATTTTTCTGGAGAATTGCTTTATACATGGAAATTTGTTAGTGTGGGGAAATAAAATTCATTGGGAATTACATTTACAATTTAAAGTTTGACTTCAGAGTAATATGTATTTTTTTTATTATAAATTCATGTAACATGCCTCTGTTGGTCCCAAAAGAGGTAAGGTGAAAGTCTAGAGGGGGGGGGGGGGGGGGATGAATAGACTTTCAAACTTTTTCGCACAATATAACAAAAGGTAAGCCAGAGATAAACCAAGACTCTTAACTAGATTGTTAGAGTCCGGTGCACAGCGGAATTAAATAAACGATACGGTGTGTGTGTAGATCGTGTCAAGATTATTGACGTGAGAAGCAAGCAAGAGCGGTAAGTAAAGAAAGCAGTAAAGAACACAAGGCAATTTATAGTGGTTCGCGAGGTGATGTAATCCTCCTACTCCACTTGCTCTTCTCAAAGAGCCAATTCACTATATTCACCACTTCTTGGTTCCAAGATACAATGAATTCCGTGATCTAGTGCTTTGATCACCAAGCCCACACTAATCACGCCCAGTGCCTCCAACACTGCTGCTTCGGGTTTCACGTCGCCGCGTTACTTTCCCAGGATTTCACAACTCCGTGCTACTTTCCCCCGTCTTCTACGATCCGGTAGAAACGTATCTTCCGTGATCTGGTGCTTTGATCACCAAGCCCACACCAATCACGCCCAATGTCCTCCGACACTGCTGCTTCGGATCTCACAGCTCCGTGTGACAATCCAGGATTTCACAACTCCGTGTTACTTTCCTCCTTTCCCTTGTTTTGCTCCAAAACAAGTTTTGCCTTGCTTCCAACTTTGAGATTCTGTAGATGATCTTCGTTGATGCGCTGAATCTCTTGAAGTTGATGAAGATTTCAACACTCTTGGATATTTCTTTTCTAAGCTCTGTATCACTCTGAGTGTTTATCTCACAAAAGATATATCAATTTAAGCTTCTGAGATGGAAAGCTTTCTTTGAATTTTGTATGCTCGGTTTAGCTCTGTATTCTTGCTTCTTGCTATTTTCTTATTTTTCACCCCTGCTATCCAAAGCTTCAATCTTCATCCTTTTATAACTGGTAATGAGAATCCGTCCGTTGGAAAGAAACGGTCTCATTTTCGAATTTTGCTTAGCTGTATAGCCTTTTGTCAGAAGATAAGATAACGTTGCAGATCTTGTCAGATATTTCAAATTGAGCTTGAGGTTTCAGCAAAAATGGCGTCCCATGAATCTCCATCTGGTGTAGATCACGCCTCTTGGGATTTTTATCTTCAAAATATATTCTCCAATATAATCCCTTACTAGTTAGACTAGTATTTTTGCTCCTGCAACTTCTTCTAATATCTTCCTCTGTTTTTCGTGTATCTGGGTCTGTATACTGCTTCCAGACTTCATCTCTTCAATTGACTTGGAAATCTCTTCCCTTGTGAAACTTCATCCCTTTCTATTTTGGGAAATGAAATCTCTATCCCTTGCTAGATTTGTCAATTGAATTCTCATCCCTTACTTGATTTGGAATTGCAATCTCATCCCTTGCAATCTATATCTCCAATTGAATTGAAGCCTTGTAAATCTCATCCCTTCAAATTGATTTCCCTGTACCAATTTGAACTTCAATTCTTCTGATGAAATTGCATCCCTATTTCAATTTCGGGGTTCCAATTTGTTTGGGATACCAATTTGAGAAACTGCATCCCTTCACTTGTAAACTTCATCCCTTAGTCAATTTGGAAATCTCATTCCCTTTGACTTTGCAAATTGCATCCCTTGAAATGATAAGGATACGATATATCTAAAATGAATAATAATGAGTCTGTACAGGAGTATATATAGTAGTGAATAGTAAACCTATTACAAGACGAATACTAATAATAATAGGTAACGAACACTAATTACTAATAATAATAGGTAACGAACACTAATGATGATAGAGTCCTAATACTCCCCCTCAAGCACAAGGTGGACTAGCAACAACATTGAGCTTGCCACATAGAGTAGAGAAATGCGGACCAGGGAGAGCTTTAGTGAACACATCAGCGAGCTGATCCTTTGTGGAAATGAAGCTAACCTGCAACTCCTTCTTCGCCACTTTGTCACGAACAAAGTGGTAATAAATTTCCACATGCTTCGTACGAGCATGGAACACCGGGTTGGAACAGAGATAAGTCGCACCCAAATTATCACACCAGAGAGTGGGAGGAGCAGCCAATGACACTCCAAGCTCGTGCAACAGAGAAACCAACCAGGTGACCTCCGCAGACACATCAGCCAGAGCCTTGTATTCAGCCTCTGTAGACGAACGAGCAACCGTGCGTTGCTTCCGACAAGACCAGGAAAATCAGATTGCCACCAAGAAAAACCGCAAAACCACTAGTAGACTTCCTGTCAGCTGGATCACCAGCCCAGTCCGAATCCGAAAAGGCATGAACCGCAACAGAGGAGGAAGGACGAATAAAAAGACCAAAGTGCAGAGTTCCTTTTACATACCGCAGAACACGCTTGAGCATAGCCCAATGCTCAGTGGTTGGAGAGTGCATATGCTGACAGACCCGGTTCACGGCAAAAGAGAGATCCGGACGAGTAACAGTAAGATACTGTAGAGCCCCAGCAAGACTGCGATACTGCGTGGGATCCGCATAGGGAACCACAGAATCAGAAGAAGGTCGGGACACAGGAACCGGAGTAGCCAACGGTTTACAGTCCACCATACCTGCACGGCTCAAAATATCTTGCATGTATCGCTGCTGAGAAAGAAACAAACCACCATCCTTGGAGACCGTCTCAATGCCAAGAAAAAAAGACGGAGCACCCATGTCACGAATCTTAAACTCCGAGGCTAAGTCAGTAAGAAGCCGAGTAACACACGAAGCATCAGACCCCATAACAAGGATATCATCAACATAGACAAGCAAATATAAACAAATAGAGGCACGAGTATAGATGAATAAAGAAACATCAGTCTTGGAGGGTGAAAAACCAACCAACACCAAGAAAGCATGCAACCTATTGAACCACGCTTGAGGAGCCTGCTTAAGACCATAGAGTGACCTCTGTAACAAACACACATCATCCGGCCGTGACTGGTCTTCATAACCGGGCGGCTATCTCATGTAAACTGTCTCTGCAAGATTACCATTGAGGAAGGCGTTGTGAACATCCAACTGCCGAATGACCCAACCGCGAGAAACGGCTAAAGAGAGAAGAAGCCGCACGGTGGTGGGTTTGACAACAGGACTGAAAGTCTCAAAAAAGTCTTGCCCAGCGACTTGATTGAAACCCTTTGCGACCAATCGAGCCTTGTGCTGCTCAATCGTGCCATCGGCCTTGCGCTTCGTTCTGAACACCCATTTGCACCCCACAACGTTCATGCCAGGTGTACGACTAACCAGACGCCAAGTGTGATTCTGGAGCAAGGCATTAAACTCAAGATACATGGCCTCACGCCACTCCGGATACCGAACTGCCTGAGAATAACAAGTCGGTTCAGGAACAGTCATAAGAGCCACATGCTGCGTCGGTCCTTAAGAACGGGTTGCCATGACATGAGACCGAGGCTGAACAGGCTTCGCCGTATGGCGGCCTCGCTTGGGCGCAGTAGGAGCACCCGAGACCGCCCCTTCCGGAGCCGTAGCAGTCACGGTGCGAGAATCTGAACCAGCTGCGGCAGCCCCGGAATCCGCGTCCAACTCTGGATGAGGATCAGGTCCAGTGGGACAAACATCAGAGCCAACACCAACCCGAACGGCACCAACACCCCACGGCTCAACCGGGCGAGAGCTAGAGACCTGAGAAGGCATAGAAGAAGCAAACGGATATACGGTCTCATCAAACCGTACATGACGACAAATGAATACCTTGTTAGTAGCAGGATCTAAACAACGATAGCCACAAAACGAAGACGGATAACCAAGAAACACACACGGGGATGACCGATACTGCAACTTGTTACGATTGTACGGGCGCAACAGAGGATAACAGAGACAGCCAAAACACACGTAAGAAGGAATAAGAAGGATTAGAATGATGCAAACGATAATGAGGACTGACATTGTCTAGAACTCGAGTAGGCATTTTATTGATGAGATAGACCGCAATCTCAAAGGCATAATCCCAATATCGCTGTGGAACCGAAGCCTGAGCCAAGAGAGCCAGACCCGTTTCCACAACGTGACGATGCCGACTCTCAACTCTACCATTCTGCTCATGGGTATAGGCACAAGATTGCCTATGATTGATACCCAAAGAGACAAAAGTACGGTGCAACCGTTTATACTCTCCCCCTAAATCAGATTGTATAGAGACAATCTTACGACCATATGAACACTCAACTAGTGACTGAAACTGCTCGAAGATAGCATACACATCAGTTTTTAATCGCATAGGATAAAACCATACATAGCGTGTGTAGTCATCAACAAACAAAACAAAATAACGAAAACCACTGACAGAAAGAAAAGGCGCTGGGCCCCAAATATTAGTATAAATAAGCTCTAAAACATGCGACGTAGTAGTATTGACACGAGGCAAGGGAAACCGAGATGATTTCCCAAGCATACAAGCACGACATGACACCGAACTATTACTAAAACTAGAATCAATGGAACACGAATTCAAAATCTGTCGCAAGACACGAGGATGAGGGTGACCCAACCGACCATGCCAAACGTCAGAGGAGACACGCGAAGCCACTAACGCGGCGGGACTCGAACGAGAAACAGGCCAAGAATAGAGACCCCCCGAAGCCTGCCCTCTATACAGAACTTCCCTGGTTGAATGATCTTTCACAAAGAAACAATCAGGGTGAAATTCAAAGAATACATTATTATCACGGGCAAACCGTTGCACGGATAATAAAGACGCAGAAAGCCCAGGAACAAAAAGAACATCAGACAACCGAAACAGTGTTTTAGAAGAGGCTACCGAAGACGAACCAATACCAACAATAGGTAAATAGTTACCGTCACCAACACGAAGATGATCCGGACCGTTATAAGAGACCGTCGAGGACATCAAAGACGGATCTGGGGTGGCATGGTTCGACGCACCAGTGTCGGGAAACCATTGCTGAGTGCTAACCGAAGCTGCATCATCCACAGGATACGCAACATGCGCTCTCAGCCCCGGAGCTCCATCGTACCGGCGAAAGCACGAAGCGGCCGAATGGCCCTCGCCGGAGCAGATCTGGCACTGGACAGCCCCGGCACCGCCACGACCACGGCCACGCCCTTTGCCGCGACCACGGCCGCGGTTACCGCCTCCACGCTGCTGCCCGCCCGAACGGCCTCCACCTCGCTGAGCCGCCATGGCGACCGGTGCAGCAGCAACATCACCAGCATCATCGGCACATATAAAAGCCTGCGAAACAAGAAAATCGGATAGCTCGGGCAGAGGCACCGGAGCACCCCTTGTGAGCGACGCCACCAAAGGACGATATTCGGACCGCAAGCCTCGGAATATATACATATTCTGATCCTCTAGCGTCACCGGACGGCCGGCAAGCGCTAAATCCTCGATAAGCACCTGTGCACGGCCAAGATAGTCCGGGATCGAAGCATCCCCCTGCCGTAATCCTTGCAACTCGCCCACCAACCGGAGGGCACGAGCCCGTGTAGTCGAACCAAGAACCTGTTCGATTGCCAACCACAAATGCCGAGAAGTGGACTTACCGATTGCGAGGTGCATCATCTCGTCGGACAAGGATGAGATTAATAAGGAGAGCACGGCCTTATCTTAACGGAGCCATGCACTCCGAGCAGCGGAAGACGAAGCCGACGAAGGCACGGCAGGAACAGCTCCCTCGGCAGGCGGCACGGCAAGCGCGGTGATCGGCGGACATACCGAAGTACCATCGACAAAACCCAACAACCCTTGGCCATCCAAGAACGGAAGAAGCTGAGTACACCAAAACAAAAAATTGCGGGATGTCAACTTGATGGAGACGAAGTGATGCGCCGAAGAGAAAGACACCCCCGACTGCAGCGGTGCAACAAGCGCGGCCTCGGAAACGGTCCGTTCAGAACTACCAACAGAGCCGTCATCAGATCCGAGGTGCGCCATTAGAGAGAGGAGAGAGAAACCTGCTGATACCAGATGAGGATACGATATATCTAAAATGAATAATAATGAGTCTGTACAGGAGTATATGTAGTAGTGAATAGTAAACCTATTACAAGACGAATACTAATAATAATAGGTAACGAACACTAATTACTAATAATAATAGGTAACGAACACTAATGATGATAGAGTCCTAATAGAAATCTCATCCCATAGTCAAATTGGAAATCACATCCCATTGACTTGCAAATTGTATCCCTTCGGCCAAACCATCGCCTCTTACTTGATCAGATGGAATTTTAACTTGGCTTCTTTAAAATATGTAGGATGTGAGATTTAAACCTATGACCTTGCACATAATATTTCAAGCTTCTACCATCTCGTCCGTACAGCCTATTAGTTATCTTCTTGTTCCACTTGGTGTACTCCTTTCTTTTCATAGATGCTTGATCTTCAAGATAGCTTCATGCAAACTTCTAGTCACGTTCTTTCTTCTTCGGGATTTCTTGAGGGATTTTCTCAAATTTCATACGCATACATCTTCCTCTTCTGTTTGCCATTTTCTCTTGACAAATTCTTGATTTTTGGCTTGATATCTTCTTCATCCATTTCCTCAACTAATGAATTTATTTTTCCCTTTCTTGGTCTAAGACTCGACTAGTCTAATAAAATAAAATTGGGGATCTACGAATTACAATATGGCTTATCAAAATCTATTACAATTTATTCCTAACAATTTCCCCCCTTTTGATAATGACATAACCTATACTCAAACATTGGCTTTAAGTCTTTGAAAAATATTTTTATTTTTACTCAATTTTATTTCGACAAAGCCAAGATGAGTTTGACAAAAATAATTCTAGGGAAAATAAAACTTTGTGAATTAATTTAGACAAGTCCTATACGCATCCTTGATTAAATTTTTAATCAATTTTTATCTTTATCAAAATTTTGCATGCGTTTAACAACTCTTGTCTTTTGATTCACCAACTAATTACATGATAGCCAAAAAAATAAATCATAAACAGACTTAGATCAGACCATGGGAACTTTTATTCATATTAGTCGAAAGAGGAAATATTGTAGCTAGCCAAAATCATAGAAATTTAAAACATCATATTTCTTGAGGAATATATGCTTGATTACCTTCTGGGTTTCTTGACTCCCATGTCAGCTTTCAATATATCCTTGATATGTTCTCTCATCTTGCAGATATCATTCTTAAACTTCTCACATTCAAATTTCTTAGTCACATTCCCAGCCATGTAGTGTCCAAAGGCCTCTTTAATGTTCGTGCCCGGAAGAGCTCCGGCTTCCCACCAAATTATGCATTCTTCAAAACTTCTTTGGAATCCCAGACTTTCACCATTATTCTTGGTATAGTCTCTGAGCTCATACCACATTTCGGTTTGCTTTCGTTTTGCTTCTTCTTCTTTATTCTTGTCCGAAATCCATTGAGCTTGATCAGCTTTTGGCCATCTTTTCACCATAGCCGGCACATTTTCGGATGTCCAGACTTTCTGCGGTGTTAAGGTTCCTTTTGAGCATTCGAACCAATCTCGAGTTTCAGCCACTTTTGATGAACTTGATCCAAGACTCGGATTTGCAAATTGAGCGAAACCAACTTGGGATTGTTGACCACGGCCTTTCGTAGGTGCGGCGGTCTGAGCTGGTTGTTGTGACTGATTTCCAATGATGAATTCATGTTGTTGTAAAGCCAGATGATTGAGAATTTCTTCCCCCCTTATGGCATTATCAATCAAAAAGCCAAGGGATTTGGAATCTTGTTCTTGATTAGCTTTAACAATCTTAACTCCATCATGTGTTTTGAGAGAAACATCCTGCAAAACAGATATTTTGTTAGCCATGGAGGATAATTCCACCTCAAGGTGATTTTCTTGATCTTGTATGGCTTTGATTTGTCTCAGGTGTCTTTCACTGTTGATCTTCTCTATAGCTTCTCGTTCCTTCTTCATAAGCTGGATGATCTCCAATAATCCTTCAGTAAGATCTCCTTTCAAATGTCGTTCGGCTCTTTCAATTTTTGTCTGCAAAGTGTTTTGATACTCCAACAACTCCTTCAAATTTGTTCGTGTGTTCTCAAAATGTTGCAAAGAAAGATGTCCTTGCTCGGTGAGAGTACTTCCAATTTTCTGACACACCATATCACTTGATTCAGTGACTTTTGCAAACAAAGAAACCAATAAATCATCTTCATCTTCTTCTCGGGTTCGGCCTCCTTGCATATTCAAAGAGTGTAAACTCTTGAATAAATTCCTTCTTGAATCTCCAAGAACCGGATTTTCGGTGAGTTGCAAATTCTCTTCTGGTGATTCGGCTTCTTCAAGATGATTTTCCACTTCTTCTTCAATTACCTCTGTTCTTCAAATAAGCTCTGCATTTAAAGTAGCTTCCAGAGAGGTATTTTGAAGTGACAATATAGGGGTGTTATCGTGTACTGGCACTTCATGTGAATATTCCCCCCCCCCCCCCCCCCCCCCCCAATTGATGGTCTGATTTCACCATCAATTTGGTCTCTAAATTCATCCCTTGTAGGGTCCAATTTTTGACTTTTGACCATATAACGTGATGAGGAAGTTTTGTTCATTTTTGGTCCTTTTTAATGGCGTAGGAAATACGATTTGTTCCAAACACAGCCAACCAAACATTTTTATTTATTACTCCTTTAATCAGGAGTACAAGAGAGAGGATCACAAGAGACATTCCTTTTTGACAATACAACCACATCAACTGCGATTAGTAGAACAACATTCATCTTCACTGTTGTCCTCGTCAGTATGTGGAGGAGATGGGCAGTACCCTGGTCCGGAATCTTCACTGTGCATGTTCGAGCTTGAGGACGAGTATGTTGCATTGAAGAACCTCGTGTAGTTCACAGGTGGACGGATGCGGGGATTCACCGGTGGAGGAGCAGATGGCAGAACGAGTTCTGGTGGTACTGGTGGTAGGTCAGGTTCTGCGGCCGGTGGTGCATCAAACTGAACTGGTGGTGCAAGAGGTTCATGAGAAATTCCTTCAAAGCCCGGTGGTGGCAACACTGGTCCGAATGTCAGCTGCTTCAGATAGTGGATGTACTCGGTGTTGCTCATGTTCATGATTTCCTGGTAGATGTCCGATTGCACAACAGGTGAAAATTTCAGAAAAGGTCCTTCAGATTCTTTTGACTTTTGTGGTTCGGCTAAGCCTTGACACGGTGGTGGCAAGCTTTTCTCAGCATCTCCTTCTTCAGCATAGATAAACCCTGGTTCTCTTGGTGGTGAAACAGGTGTATATTGTTCAGGGCCTTTCTCTTCAGATACGACAAGAGGGTCGTTTGCAGTATCTCCAACCAGATGTCCTCCAGCCTCAACCCTTCTGGCTCGCAATTTCTGGAGTCGCACTTGATTCCAGATTCTCTTTGATGTTCTTCTTTCTTCATTGTTCTTCTCCTTCAAAACCATTGTTCTTCCTTTAGGATACCACAATCCAACATTGATTGTGCCCTTCAAGTATCTTATGATTTTCTTTGTTGCGGTGAGGTGGCTTTCTTTTGGATTTGCTTGGAATCTTGCACACACTCCCACAGCATAAGAAATGTCCGGCCTGCTTGCAATAAGGTATAGTAGTGAACCAATCATTCCTCTATACTTCGTTTGTTCGACATCTTTTCCATCTTCGTCTTTGTCTAGCCTTATTGATGTACTCATAGGAATTTTGATCGATGATTTTCCATCAAGGCCAAACTACTTTATCAAGTCTCGGGTGTACTTTGCTTGATTGATGAATATTCCTTCCTTCAATTGTTTGACTTGTAAGCCTAAGAAATAATTCAATTCACCCATCATGCTCATTTCGAATTTATTCTGCATAAGCTTCGAAAATTTCTCACACAAAGAATTGTTAGTGGTTCCAAAAATAATATCATCAACATGTATTTGCACTAATAAAATATGATCACCATCTTGAATTCTAAATAGAGTTTTGTCAACAAGGCCTTTGGTGAATCCACAGCTTATCAAGAACATTGACAAGGTATCATACCAAGCTCTAGGTGCTTGTTTCAACCCATACAATGCCTTTTTAAGTTTGTAGACTTTATCACCTTCGCCTTTTACCTCAAAACCTGGGGGTTGTTCGACATAAACTTCTTCTTTGAGTAGACCATTCAAGAATGCGCTTTTCACGTCCATTTGATAAACAATGAAATCTTTGTGTGCGGCGTAGGCTAGGAAAATCCTTATAGCTTCGAGTCTGGCTACCGGTGCAAAGGTTTCATCAAAATCTATTCCTTCTTCTTGAGAGTATCCTTTTGCAACGAGCCTTGCTTTATTCCTAACAATCACACCTTCTTCGTTTGCTTTGTTCCGGAAGACCCATTTAGTTCCTACAACATTGTGGTTCATTGGTTTTGGAACAAGTTCCCAAACATCATTTCTTTTGAATTGATCGAGTTCCTCTTGCATGGCGTCAATCCAACTTGGATCATTAAGAGCTTCGTCCACTTCTTTTGGTTCAATCTGAGATAGATAACATGTGAACAATGCTTCCATGGTAGATGATCTTGTTTTCACGCCATCGCGAACATTTCCGATGATTTTCCATCAAGGCCAAACTACTTTATCAAGTCTCGGGTGTACTTTGCTTGATTGATGAATATTCCTTCCTTCAATTGTTTGACTTGTAAGCCCAAGAAATAATTCAATTCACCCATCATGCTCATTTCGAATTTATTCTGCATAAGCTTCGAAAATTTCTCACACAAAGAATTGTTAGTGCTTCCAAAAATAATATCATCAACATGTATTTGCACTAATAAAATATGATCACCATCTTGAATTCTAAATAGAGTTTTGTCAACAAGGCCTTTGGTGAATCCACAGTTTATCAAGAACATTGACAAGGTATCATACCAAGCTCTAGGTGCTTGTTTCAACCCATACAATGCCTTTTTAAGTTTGTAGACTTTATCACCTTCGCCTTTTACCTCAAAACCTGGGGGTTGTTCGACATAAACTTCTTCTTTGAGTAGACCATTCAAGAATGCGCTTTTCACGTCCATTTGATAAACAATGAAATCTTTGTGTGCGGCGTAGGCTAGGAAAATCCTTATAGCTTCGAGTCTGGCTACCGGTGCAAAGGTTTCATCAAAATCTATTCCTTCTTCTTGAGAGTATCCTTTTGCAACGAGCCTTGCTTTATTCCTAACAATCACGCCTTCTTCGTTTGCTTTGTTCCGGAAGACCCATTTAGTTCCTACAACATTGTGGTTCATTGGTTTTGGAACAAGTTCCCAAACATCATTTCTTTTGAATTGATCGAGTTCCTCTTGCATGGCGTCAATCCAACTTGGATCATTTAGAGCTTCGTCCACTTCTTTTGGTTCAATCTGAGATAGATAACATGTGAACAATGCTTCCATGGTAGATGATCTTGTTTTCACGCCATCGCGAACATTTCCGATCACTAAATCTGGTGGGTGATTTTTGAGCCATCTTAAGTCTGGTTCAAATGGGTGCATGGTACTGGGTGGATTTACTGGTTGAGAAGAGGTAGCACTATTTCGAATTTCTGCTTCATTTTCTAGATTTCCAACTTCTCCAGTAATTGCATCCAAGGGCTGATTTGCAATTTTCACTTCAACTGCATCCCTGGGTTGATTTGCAATTTCAATACCAATTGCATCCCGCACTTCATTTCTTACTGGATGATGGATGGGATTTTCTAGAGAATTAATTTCCAACTCATCCATTCCCTGCAAAATATTTTCTTCACACGTATCATCAGTATCACAAAAATCAATATGACACTTGTTACCATTTTGCTCAATATTTTCGCCATTTTCATCCAGAGCATCAATATTGACGTGTGATTTTTCATCAAATACCACGTGTATGGATTCTTCAACCACCATTGTTCTTTTGTTCAACACTCTGAATGCTTTGCTGGTAGTCGAATATCCTAGAAAAATTCCTTCATCTGCACGCTCATCAAAAGCTTTTAGATGCAATTTATCATTAATATTAATAAAGCACTTGCATCCAAAAACATGAAAATAACCAATATTTGGTTTTCTCCCTTTATATAGCTCATATGGCGTCTTCTTGTACTGCTTATGGATCATGCTTCGGTTTTGCGTATAGCAAGCAGTGTTGATAGCTTCCGCCCAATATCTTTTCGGGAGACCGGCTGCACTAATCATCACTCGTGCGGCTTCTTTAAGCGTCCGGTTTCTTCTTTCGGCAACACCGTTTTGTTGTGGTGTTCTAGCGACAGATAATTGATGAGAAATTCCATGTGAATTGCAAAAAACTTGTATAACTCCATTCACGAACTCGGTTCCACGATCGGTTCGGATTTTTGATATTTGCAATTCTTTCTCATTTTGTAGTTGCTTCAATAGCTTCGGCAACACTTGTTCAACTTCATTTTTCTTCTTGAGAAACACGGTCCAAGTGTACCTGGAAAAATCATCAACAACAACAAGAGTATATTTCTTAACACTTACACTTATTGGATCAACCGGTCCAAATAAGTCCATGTGTAGCAAGCTTAGCGGTCTTGATGTTGATTCGTGCGTCTTAGACTTGAATGATGATTTGATTTGCTTTCCGCGTTGGCATGCATCACACACTTGGTCCTTCTTGAAGATGATACTTGGTAATCCTTCAACTAGATTTTTCTTTGCAAGCTGATTGATGGTCTTGAAGTTTAAATGGTTGAGCTTTTTGTGCCATTCCCAATTTGCTTCATTCGAATTTCTGGCCATTAAGCATACTGAATCTTTGCTTGTGCTCCAATCAACAACATACATATTCTTTCGCCTTTTTCCAGTGAGCACAACTTCATTTGAGAGCTCATTTTTGATTAGGCAATTATCTTTGGAAAATTCCACAAGATAGCCTTTATCACAAAATTGACTAGTGCTCAACAAATTGAATTTTAGGCCTTCAACAAATGAAACATCTTCGATCTTCAAACCATTTCTTTCAATTGTACCAACTCCTTTTGTAGTTCCATAATTTTGATTTCCTCCAAATATAACTTTTGGTCCATCGATTTTCTTGAAATTCACTAGACATGATTTATTTCTAGTCATGTGGCGTGAGCAACCAGTGTCGATGTACCAAACATCCTACAAAAATGATTAGTTGGTTTTAGGTACCCATACTTGCTTGGGTCCTTTGCTGTTAGTAATTTTTGGTAACCAAACCCACCTTGATCCTATTGAATTAAGATAAGGCGGTTTATAACCATTTGAAACACGATAATCATAATTAACTTTTGAAAACATTTTTGGCGCCGGGTTTTGAAAAACATTTTTATATCTAGGCACCTGGGAAGAAGATTGTTGCTTTGGTCTATAAGAAGCATTTAAACAAGATTTACACAACCAATCCTTTTGAGTGGAATAAAATCTTCCATCTCTATTTCTAGAAAAGCTTCCCTCTTTTCTAAAAATTCTTTTTGCACTTGACTCTTTGGCATATCTTTGCTTGAAGAATTTTTGTTGCTTTGCCGTAGTATTGAACTGTTTCGGCCTATCAACATTCAACTTTGCTTTCTCATGATAGCCAAGTCCTTGTCTCATTGTGCTATACTGACTTTTAACAAATTTTACTACTTGCACTTTATTAGTTAAAGGAGTAGTAGAATTAGTCAGTTTCGGAGGGGTTTGAGAACATGTGGAGTCATAACCGATTCCGGTTCTATCTCCTGATGGCTTTTGCATATTTACCATTTTATCCATAATTTTGGACGAATTAGTAAACGTAGCAATGGTAGCCCGAAGGTTATGTTCTCTAACCTCTCTTGATTTACACTCTTCTTGAAGTTGAATATTTTCACTCTTCAAGTTACTCACTTCAAGTAAAGCATCTTGCAATTTTTTATTCATCTCTTCTTTTTCAAGAATTAGAATATTATTGCGCTCCTTGAGTTGAAGATGAGTGAGCATAATCTCTTGACAATCTCGCATTAGGTTGTCAATAGATTCACGAGAAAAAGAGGAATTAACAGAATTGAAAGAATTAGATGTTACCTCTTCTTCCTCTGCTCCAAGAGCCATAAAGCACTCTTCACTTGAACTCAACTCATTTGACATACATACTAGAGCCGTGTCATCTTCCGAACTTGAACTTTCATCACTTGATGACAATCCATTCGACTCATCATTTTCATTTGGTTCATTGCTAATGAGAGCTTTTCTTTTGTCGCGCTTGAACCTTCGATCTTTGCTTTCGGATTTATTCGGTGTAGATTCAACATTTATGCCTTGATACTTGCTAACGATCGGATACGGACAATTTATTTTGAAATGTCCGGGTTTGCGGCAATTGTAGCATAAATTGTTGTTTTCTTCGACTTTCTCTTCTTGTGTCGTGCGAGAGACATATTTTCCATGAGCAGAATTTTTGTTGTCTCCTTTTCGCATGAACCTTTTGAATTTTCTAACAAAAAGAGC